CGCACACACACACACACACACACACACACACACACACACACACACACACACATCATACACGCACTTAGACACAGGCATGCTCACACACATACACTAACAAACCCAGATACTCACACAAACATACACACACAATGACACAGATGTGAAAGTATGAAACAACCAAAATGTGAAATAATTGACTGCTAATTGCGTAATGCGTGTGCTTCTAACATTTGAAGCACACGCATTACGAAGTTAATGATCGTCGAAGTCAAAAATGTTATCTTTCCTCTACTTTAATGCATAATTCAATTACAAATATAATATTTGTGTAAAAATGTATTTTAAATATATAATGTCAAAAATAATTAAATCATTAATAATAATCAGAGTTAGAGTTAAATTTATTTTATCAACAACTCTTTAAAATGTAGTGTATTGTTATTTTTGCTATATTTTTTATAGACAGCTTAATTTGTAACTTTTAACAACAAATAAATGAAGTGAATTTGAATCATCTGTTGAGAAGAAATAATTTATCTTAACTTACCAAACTTCAATTAAAATCGTTTAGTTGTACTATAAACTGTAGCATTTAATTGTGCAAGAATACAAATTAAGTTTCTTGACTTTTGAGTTATCAGACCATTAGTCAATCAATTACTTGACGTGATATTTACATTAACATTAGCAACTTGATACGTATTGTTGGCGGTTCTCGATAATTGATTCCACTAAATAAAAGATTATTTCTTCGTGCTGAACTTTTAATGCTTTTAAGGTTTTTTTAGATTACACATTTAACTATTTCTGTGAGTGTGTGTATGTTTGGTGTGTGTGTATGTTTAGCATTTGTATGTCTATGTGTATGTCATGTTTTTGTATGTGTTTATATGAATATAATTGTATGTGTGTAAGTTTGCGCTTATATGTGTGTGTAATGCTTGTTTTTCCTTTGTCTGTGCTTTTAGATGTTTAGATACATTTACGTGCAAATTTTTGATAAAATTTGATACAAATGAAAAACTTTTCCCCCAAATAATCTAATTAAGGAATATGAACAGAAGTGAAGCTGAATGTATAGTCTAATCAATCAAACAGACAGCCACAGACAGCCATGTTTATGGATAACACAAACAAGGCGAGAGAGAAAAATAAATACTCCATCAAAAAAAAGTTATGTAAGAATTGCTAGCACTAAGAATTCCTTATTTTTAATGTCAGATGATGAACAGTTTATAACAATTCACACAAACAAACAAACACACACACACACACACACCACACACATACACACACACACACACACACACACACACACACACACACACACACACACACACACACACATATATATATATATATATATATATATATATATATATATGTATATACAAGAGACAAGAACACATACATACAAAAACACACTTACACATTAAACAAACACACACTCGCACACAACCATATTTTATTAAATTTAATATTTAATAAAATATGATTGTGTGCCAGTGTGTTTATTGTTTTAACCTTTGAACGCTTGTTACTACCAACACCAAATGCTTTAACTTCAATGATCTTTATTTCCAACACTAGTGTTGTAGCTTCCAACGATCGTTAAGTTATTGTTATTCCGTAGGTTCAAGATTCCGATAGATGAACACACTTGCTTCAAACGCAAACTTGGTTGAACGTTTATTTGAATGCCAACAGTAATAGAAACACCAAAGCAATCCAAGTAACTACGTAAATCACAGTTAAAACTTGGCATCAAATCTCGCTACTAACTTAGTTATTCGCAACCCCTTATAAATCCTCTATAGTAGATTTCTACAATCCTCTACGGTATGAAAAAATTCTATGGCTTACAATCGATAACAAATAGCAAAGATAACAAATATAACAAGATAACAATAATTATAATTATATAGCATAATTCCACCATCCCGGCAGATATAACAGTATACATGACAATCGTAAAAATATTGAACAGCTGTGGAATTTGTACTTTTTTGTAACCAAATGGCAGATAAAGATAAAAATGTTAACCGTCAAAAACACGATAAGTGCTCAGAAATTAGAAGAACTTTAGGTATCTACGATTTTAACTCCAACGTATTAATAGCATTTTTACCGTCATTCTGAACACACAATTCACAGTTCACAATTTTTATTTCAGAACAGGGCAAGGAAACGGCTCAATGGACTTGTATGGCCACCCAAAATAAAATAACAACAAAATTCTTAAAAAAATATATAAAAAAGTAAATAATAATCACAAAAATGAAAAAATTCCGAATAATTTTCCGTTTCCCCATCACCGGCACCATCATCTTCATCATCTAAAAAGACTGGAGAATGTGATTTTTGATGAACATCCGTCCTACATTCAGCGCAGTTGTCGCTACGTTTCAATTTTTACGACCATAAGTATAATTCACAATTGTTGTTTTTTTGGTTACTGATGTTGTTATGATATGTTGTGAATATATAAGATAACATAAAACTAGTATACAAAACTACATCACAAATCTCATATACAACTCATCCTGTAATTAGAGAAACGAAAAAAAAGCCTGAATCTACATTTCATCATTGTCTAATTTATAATTACCTAATCGTAAATATTTAGCTATAACTAAGAAGAATTAATTTTTAATGAATTCTCTCGAACTGAAATAGAGCCCTTAATTGGCCCAAATAAAATCAGAAATATTCTTATGAAAACATTTACGTTGAATCATTTAGTTAATTATTAATAGTTTCAAAAAAAGTAGGTAGGTAAGCACAATTTTTTGTAAAAAAAATTATCAGTTAGATCTCTTAAAAGGTTTAATTTTTCAAGAGTTTGTTTCACAGCGGTTAAAAATGAGTTGGGCTTATTAATAAAATTTCAAATTATAAAAAAACAAATAAAAATTTTTAAAAAATACTTTAAACGCGATGAAATGTTCACACTCTTGATTATTTTTTATCGAAAATTTCATCATGATAATGACATCAGAGGGTTGTTTAAATTTTTAAAAGCCCGTTAACGTCAACAATCAAAGATAGGAATGTTTTTGATGTAAATAAAGGAATTGAATTAATAAATAAATATTTATTTATGTTTGGAAAAAAATATATATATATTATAAAATATATGTAATATATTTTTAAATTTATGTATATATATAATATATATGAATATACGTGTACGGAAACTTTTAGGCCTTGAAAATTTTAGTTATTAATACTATTATTTAAATAATTATAATTTTTATTATTATTAATATTAATATTACTGTTATTAAAATAGTATTTATACGGCGCGTTTTAATTTACGTCATTATCGATAATTTAGGTTTAACCCAATCAGTCAGTGCTGAAATTTGGGTTCATAAGCTTGGAGTAAACCCTACCAACAATCATCTCCCAAACGACAAATTTCAGGAATTGAATTATTTTTCTCGGTTTCCGAAACCAAAATTTTTCTTATTGAGGAATATTTTCCACAGCAAATAAACCATGCATTCACTTTTTCAATCAAGCGTTTAATCATTAAACTGATTCTTATAAAAATCCTTACAGCAGAGGAAACACTTACGTAGACGTTGTATCGTTGATTGGATTTAATTGGAAGATAATGGATGCTTCTAAGTTTCATACATTCATAACTCATTAATTTCATTCACAACTTTCATTACCATGTATTAACACATTTGAGATGAAGTGACCTTGGAGTTTCAAGAATGAATCTTAAAAGTTTTAGTTTTATTTGAAAAAATTTGGAAAACTTTAATTATATTTGTGAAAATTATCACAAATTTTTTAGTGTTTTCCAATTCTAAACAATATAGTGAAAGTGTGACGAGAACTTTAAGTAGTTAGCCCATTGAAAAATCATCGTCTTTTCCACATGGGTAACTAACGATTTCATCGAAATTGACAGATTAAAAAAAGTTAATAGAAGGTTCCAACTCTAACCTTCTTATATAATAAAAATATTTATTATTTTTTCACAATACATAACTTATTTGGAATATGGTTTTAAGCTAATGATGGTTTAACAAGAGGTAAAATTTTTATGGTAACTGCAAGTGTGTATCAATTTTGGAGTGCCTCTTTCAATATTTAACAGACATGTGTTCACTAAAATACATACTACAACTACATGCTAGAGATGAGATATAAATATGTATATATATATATATATATATATATATATATATATATATATTTGTATATATATGTATATATATACTATACCTGCATGTATGTGTGTGTATATATCCATGTATAATACGTATATGTATAACAAGTCAACAATAAAATTTTGCGCTGCATATAATAACGAATCGATTTCATTACAAAAATTGCTGATATATTTATAGTGAGAGTAGAACTGAGCACAACATAACAACAATTTAGATTCATACAAACATACATACATACAAACAAACATACAATCATGCATATATACAAACACACAAACAGATTTACAGATGCAGAATTACAAATTTACATTCATAATTTTGTAATAAATTATGGTTATAAGTCTAACATATTGAATAATCAGATGAGCTAGTTAATTTCTATTTAAACGATAATATTGTAAAATATTCTCATAAGTGTTTCTAATTGTTTGTCGGTCTTTTATATTCAAGCCCTGCTCCGTCTGCTGAATTGCTGAAAATGTTAATTTAAAAAACACTTTTAAACTTATTAATCAATTTATGCTTTTTGTCAGTTTAGTTCTGAAACTTCTAATATTTACAAACATCATTTTTAAAACTAATGACAATATTTTTTCAAAATTTCAAATTGATCAATCAAAAAACAATCAAGAACGTTGTAACGAGGGATTTCATCCAACATCAAAAAGTTAGTTAACATTGATATTAATTATTTTCATTCCTTCCTATAAAATGTGATGAATTATATTCACGCTTGTTCTCTATTAACTAATCCTTTCTTCTCAAACATTTCATCAGAAAATTCAACCACACAATGTTATATTACATGCGGTTTTTATTTGGTTGAAATTAAGCAGAACTGTGAACGCTTTGAGACAATTTTCGAGTTTGGCCGAGACAGTACAATGGCAGCACAATGACTACAAGACGTGAAACTCGGAACTTATATCGCCTGCGTTAAATTGATATTCAATTATTACCTGATGAATTGGATAAATGCGAGATGAATCAATTCACGTGATGTCATCTCAAATTTTTCGAGTAATTTAAATGTTTAAATAAGAAAGTTTCATATTCTAGAATGTTCGAATATTTTTCCAATGAATGTAATTAAGAAAATGTGCAAATGAATTAATCATACAAAAGTGACAAAACTTGTTTGTGCGAGTTCAACTCGATTCAAATATTATTTTGGCCGTACATTATTATTACTGCTGCCGAACGAGCACCGATCCAGTTAGGAGTGAGTAGAAATGCATTCATCACGGTTGCTACTGTGGTTGATAAATTAATTTGATTTAATGCTAGCCTGCAGCTGTGACGTCCTAGCAGGCCTGCCTATTTCAAATTTCATTAAATCATTCACTATCATTTTTTATCGTTCGCTCATTCATTCAACATTTCTGTGAAACAATAATTCTGTCATAATATTATATTTCATTTAATTCTTATATCGTTGTGTGTAAGTCTGAGCTAATGTAAAAGTGCCTATGCATTAACATGGTACATTAACATGTCTGTGTGTTTGTGTTTTCACATGATTGTTTACACTCTATCCTATATTTTTCAAAAAGAACTCTATAAACATTCTCAAGGGTTAACCAATTTTTTTCAGTATAAAAATTTCGTGTACACACACACACACACACACACACACACACACACACACACACACACACACACACACTTGTTGATATTGTACTACAAAGTGCTTTTTTGTGTTTTGGGGGAGATTTTTAGGAAAAAAATTTGATAAAACATTAAGTAGCTACTCATAATGGTGTAAAATTTAAACAAAAAACATTTTAATTTGGATTCAGACATTTAAAAATAAAAGCCATTATGCAAACACACGAAAGCTATTTTTTTTATATTTGTTTATATAAACTCAGTGAAATATTCTTTTACGAAATGTAGCAGTATTCTTTTATTGCGTTTCTTAAATACTAAAAAGTATCACACATTTACACGCACACATACGCACACACACATACACGCACAACATACATAAATAAGTGTGGATTAAACCATCATACCCATATTGCATGTGATAGTTCAAGATCACTTTGCATTCAAACCCGACTCCTTCGTCTCACTGTCGGGCGTTCATCGTCGTTTCTCTTTTCGTACCGTCCAATTGTACTTTTTTATGGTATAAAACTAGACTGTCACAGCAATTAAAAACGCAAATCGTTAAGAGTAATGATTGATAGAGTTATTAATGATGTTAACGCGAACAGATTTCATAATTGGTTTACTCTTAACCGTCTGTCTTTGTCAGGCTCCTTTCCTCCTTATATTCAGAAACAAAGTCGTGGCATTATCATCTTCATCATCGACGTCATCGTCATTATCATTATTATAATATATTATAGTTATAATTATAATTATTATTGCCAATATAACCGCAGTTATCAGAACCATACTCGACAGCATCATCGCCGTCATCATCTCTGTTTTCATCATCTGTGTTTTCATCATCTGTGTTTTCATCATCTGTGCTTTCATCATTTGTGTTTTCATCATCTGTGTTGTCACCATCTGTGATGTCATCATCTGTGTTTTCATCATCTGTGTTGTCATCATCTGTGTTATGATTATCGTAATCATCATCAAAAATATCATAATAATAAAGGATAAACAGTGTTAATGACGTGTTGAATCTTTAGTAACAGTTCAGAAATTAACATTTTAATCAGTTACTAACTTTTAAATATTGAAAACCAAGCTATGATTAGAAACGTTTGAAATTTATGAAAAAAAAAGAACTACCATACCTTCACCGATAAAAAAAATTCAAGCGAGCATTGAACCATCCTGCAGAATTAGACCAACTAAATGCAGTGCACGTACCCAATCATAGTCATGACAGACTTTCAATTGCACTGCACTGAGTAACTGTATCAAGACAAAAATAAAAATAAAAACAACTTCTTTTGTCACAAAACGATCGATCTATTCATCACAATTGTATCTAACATTGACTGGATTCATGTTTGTTTAATGAATATCTCCGATGCAAATAATTTCCACAGTCAATAACATTATTATTTATATGATAAAAAAAGATTTTCTGTTGATAATTATTGTTAATTGTTTACATACATACATACATACATACATACATACATACATACATACATACATACATACATACATACATACATACATACATACATACATACATACATACATACATACATACATAGATACATACATACATATATACATACATTCATACATACACTTGCCGAACGATATGTAAACCTGACAAGTAAAGAATGCGGTTTGGCCGCGGCCAGAGCAGCGGACGAGAAAATGAAAAAATATGGGAACGCCCTCCCCTCGATGGAATTCGTGCCAATATGTATCGAGGTTCTTGGCCCGATGGACCCCAACACCCTTAAATTTCTTAAGACAATATATAAAATGATCAGCGTTAGATCAGGCGACAGCAGGAAACTGTTTTTCGCAACTAACCACATTTCGTGCTTGTTGCAGCGGTTCCTGCGTGTCTGTGTGCTTGAAAATATCCAACTGAATGCCGACATGTGCAATTAACGACAAATCAAAGTGTTAATCCATTTGTTACTTGATGTTTGACGGTTCAGTGTCACTCATCATGTTTTGGTTTTAACATACATACATACATACATACATACATACATACATACATACATACATACATACATACATACATACATACATACATACATACATACATACATACATACATACATACATACATACATACATACATACATACATACATACATACATACATACATACATACTAATATCCAAACAACCGTACATACATGCAGACATACTCATCACAAAAGCAAACATAAATTGTGTGTAGGCGTTGGACGTTGTTAAGCAACACATTTCAAACAACATGCGTTATACAGTGCACACCCTACACACACTCGCGCGCAAACACACACGCGCACACACACGCGCACGCCAACACACATATACACATTTCAGACATGCAAGTAAAAACATATTTTTATATCTCTATTCATCTATTTTAGTTTGCTTCAAATAAATTTTAAAAATACATAGCTAACAATGTAATATATATATATATATATATATATATATATATATATATATATATATATATAGAACTTTCAATGTGTTGCATTATTCATATACACCTAAATGATGTCAAAAATTTTATAAATACACATATATATATATATAATATATATATATAAATATATATATAGTTGCATATACTAATACAAAATTATTTTTATTCGTGTGTACATTGTATAATGCGTAGACAAACTGAAGTGGACATGTATATACAAAATGGATACCTACATTACACACCTACGTAAATAAATATAAATACAAGCATATGCACACACAAACACACATACATACATACATACATACATACATACATACATACATACATACATACATACATACATACATACATACGTACATACATACATACATACGTACATACGTACATATATACAAACATTTTGTTTTGTTTTTTTGGTGTCCCTGGTTTCCAGCTAGGGCTTTCCTGGAAACGTGTGTTAACGAGACATGCTCCAATCTTACTTTGTTTATTTTTGCCCTTCTGCAGTTTTTTTTTTTATAATTTTCTTTTTTCACATATTCAATAGGGCCGTTGTTGTTAGTTTCAGCTAGACGGGTTTTGATCAGTTAGGCGGAAGAGGGGGGTTTGGGGCTGAACCTCCCCCCAAATAAAAACTTCTGAAAGGTTAAAACAAAAATAAATAAAATCTGTATACAAATTTGTAAAAATTTGGACTGAAAACTATTTCAGTCCCATAACAGTAAAATTCGTTAAGTTTGTCTCCAAACCACTGACAGGTTTCAAAAGCAGAGTTTGTTGAAAAATAGCGTAAGATTCAATTTATTTATTACTTATTTGTTTAATTTTTTACTACTGCCTTGCATGCTGTAGCAGTTTCTGCGTCTGTCAGATCCTGATTTTTAAAGAATATTAAAAAAAGATTCAGAAAAAATGTGCTATTATTGTCAAGTTTATTTCCCCATAGCAGATTTTTGGCTACGCTGCTGTGCCTATGAAAAAGTTGTAAATGTTTGTGCATGTTGAAAATTTCTTTACAAAATAATTATTATTGAATAGCTTTTCAAATGATTTTTTGTACATGTGTAGATGTGAATAAATAAACAAAAAAAACAATAAATAAATAAAGTTAATAAAAAAGATAAATAACTATAATACACAAACGTTGTTATTTAGTCATTGTTAGTTGCCATAGAAATTTCAAAACTTCTGCTATTTTTGGGTTATTTATTTATTATACTATGCTTTTTAAGTTTTATTTTTTTCTTTTCTTTCTATGAATAGACACAAAAAACATGAATAATAATTATAATAATTAATAATAATAATAGGAAGAGAAATCAAAATAAAAATTTTTTATATTATGGTTATTAAAATATTAGTAGTAGTAGTAGTAGTAGTAGTAGTAGTAGTAGTAATAGTAGTAATAGTAGTAGTAATAGTAGTAGTAGTAGTAGTTGTAGTATATAGTAGTGGATGTATTATCAGTAGGAATATCAGTAAAACTAGTAGTATTTATTATTATTTCTATTGTTATCGATTGTTAGTAATAATGGAAATAATAATAGGTTTTCCTATCCAGTCAAAGCAATGCGATCATGGCGTGACGACATTGTGCAAATATAACTTGGAGTCAGGGCTGGAATAAAATGGTAAAATGCTGGTGTTTATTATTATTATCATTATCATTATTATTATTATTCTTATTGTTATTTTCATACCTATTGTAATTATTATTTTAATTATTTTTGTATCTTTAGTATTAGTAGTGGTAGTAGTAGTAGTAGTAGTAGTAGTAGTAGCAGCATTTTCATTCTCGTTATAGCTCTTTCTTTTGAAGTTTGTATCGTTATGTAATACAAAATAAAAATAGCAAGCTTTTTAAAATATTGTTGTCAACTTTGACGCTCGTGAAAACCAACACCCTTGTTATAACTTCAAAGATCTCGTCTCGATATTCCAAACAACAGTGTTGTAGCTTCCAACGATCGTTAAGTTATCGTTATTCCGTAGATTCAAGATTTCAGATAGATGAACACAACTGCTTCAAACGCAAACTTGGCTGAAGGTTTGTTTGAATGCCAACAGTAATAGAAACACTAAACTAATCCAAGTAACTACATAAATCACAATAACAACTCGGAATCAAACCTCGCTATTTGCAATCCCTTATAAAGACTTTACAGTAGATTTCTACAATCCTCTACGGTATGAAAAGATTCTATGGCTTACAATCGATAAAAAATAGCAAAGATAACAAATATAACAAGATAACAATATTTAATTATTTAATTTCACAAATCCAGCAGTTATAAGAATATAAATTTGTTAGCGCTTGTGCTTCTAAATAATTATATTCTAAATTCAAACAAAGTTTCTCATAGGTAAATAATTTAATAGAGATTGTTGTTACAATTTTGTACATGATCCAAAAAGGGTACATCATCATTCGCTTTTTTCATTTCCTTCAACGTTTGTTTTAAAAAAAATTATTTCAGACTCTCAGAAAAAGGTCAATATAATGAAACTACAAAACATAAATTGTATTTTAGAGGGGATACGGACAAAACGCCATAAAGGAAAGTTAAAAATATTAAAAAAAAATACCAAAACCCTCCAAAAAAATTTTTTTCCAGCCATCTCTTTGAAAGTCAAACTCGTTTTTATCTTATTCATCTTAAACCCACGAGATAAAAGATTCTTCGCGAACAGCGTGTGTGTGTTTGTGTGTGTTTGTTTGTTTATGTGTTTTTGTGTAAACGTCTATGTAGTTATGTGTAAATGTATGTGCGTATCTGTTTGTCTTTGTGTGTGTGCACATTTGTAAAGGTATGTGTATGTACGTGATTCAGTTGTAAAAGTATGTGTGTATGTGTATATACGTGATGTGTATGTACGTGATTCAAAGACAGACGTCTACAGTTTAAACATGCCATCACATAGACAGATATTATTCATTTTAGAAAAATTCACGCATGTAAAAACAAACAAACAAGCAGATATGCATAAACACACAAATGCACAAATACAAACACACATATAAAGCAGACACACGTGCAACAACAGACAGACACACAAATAGAGACACCAAGACACTGCAGATAAATAAATACACACACACACACACATACACAGACTGATACACCAAATGACTCGATTGAAACATTTTTATTGTCATCCTTCATTGCTTTATCAATCTATTTAATCAAAAAATTGTTTTTGTTTATTGCCTTCTTCCGTTTCTTTGGCATTCCCATGTCACCAAAGATATAAAATCTCATTTATAAACGTGTATATGTGTGTTTATTTATGTGTATGCGTGTGTGTATCTGTATGTGTTTGTTTGTGTGTGAATGCGTGTTTGTGTGTATGTACGTAATCCACAATTGCATTATTTTATGGTCGATTTTGTTGATGATGATGATGACGATGATGATGACGATGATGGTGGTGGTTGTGGTGGTGATGGTGATGATGATGATAAAGTGATGAAGATGATAATGTGATGATGATAGCGGGGATAATGGAGTTTGATACTTTTTATGATTATCACGATAAATTAACATGATAATAAAACTGTAATGATAGAATAGAAAGCATTAAAATGATAATGGAAATACACGAACAATAAAGTTAATAAGACTTTAAACTATAACAATAATAAGAAAGCGATTTTAATATTTTACTAATAATACTAATACTGCTAGCTTATAATAACGTAGTATTAATCATTATCATCATTAACTTCATCATCATCGTCATCTTCCAAAAGAAAATATTCCGAACAAGCCAACACAGCCACCACCATTCAAACAGCAAAACAACAGTTGTCGCGTTTCTGTTAGAAGTTAAAAAATATCTAACAAACATCAACCATAAAAGAGAAAAACTCAATATTCAGGATAAAATTATTATTATTATTTATTTCATTTTTTACTGTTTTTTTACCATTTAAATATTTATATTATTATTTATTTCTAAATTTATTCATCTTTCTATAACTATAACAGTATTAATAATGGTTGTAGCGTTAGCTCAAAAGGTAGAGGCGAAGTGACTCATCAAACTATTATTATACGATGTCCTGGTTTGAATACCATCTGTCCCAAATTATAAGTGTATGTGCGAACGTGTGTAGTATATTACTACATATTACTAACTCGATGCCTTAATACTAAATCCAATAACAATGAAGAACAAGAAAATGACAGCAACAATGATGAAGAATACAACACCAACTAAGAAACTCACTTTGATAAAGAACTAACTTTGCATTGTTTGAAGAAACTATATAAACCAAACCTGGACTGAAAATGATTTGTGAAAAATCGAAATAAGGCCTTCTTTGCATGATGAATTTGGATAACAACAGTTTCATTAAATTTTCATGACGAACTTGGATAA